TTGAATGCATTATTGCAACCCTAAAATAGGTTCCAAAACTATAGCATAGAGGTTTACTCCGGGTGGGACACCTCTAAACTTTCTCTCATATTTGTTCATTTGTACGCGGTACAAAAATGGTAATATTAGTAGCAATCCTTGCTAAACTGGACAGCCTGTAGACGTGGCACCCTTGCTAAACTGGACAGCCTGTAGACGAGGTAACCTTGCTAAACTGGACAGCCTGTAGACGTGGCAACCTTGCTACACTGGACAGCCTGTAGACGTGGCAACCTTGCTACACTGGACAGCCTGTAGACGAGGTAACCTTGCTACACTGGACAGCGTGTAGACGTGGCAACCTTGCTACACTGGACAGCCTGTAGACGAGGTAACCTTGCTACACTGGACAGCCTGTAGACGAGGTAACCTTGCTACACTGGACAGCCTGTAGACGAGGTAACCTTGCTACACTGGACAGCCTGTAGACGAGGTAACCTTGCTACACTGGACAGCCTGTAGACGTGGCAACCTTGCTACACTGGACAGCCTGTAGACGAGGTAACCTTGCTACACTGGACAGCCTGTAGACGAGGTAACCTTGCTACACTGGACAGCCTGTAGACGAGGTAACTTTGCTACACTGGACAGCCTGTAGACGAGGTAACCTTGCTACACTGGACAGCCTGTAGACGAGGTAACCTTGCTACACTGGACAGCCTGTAGACGAGGTAACTTTGCTACACTGGACAGCCTGTAGACGAGGTAACCTTGCTACACTGGACAGCCTGTAGACGAGGTAACCTTGCTACACTGGACAGCCTGTAGACGAGGTAACCTTGCTACACTGGACAGAATATCTTGGCTATACTAGACAGGATAACCTCACTATACTAGACATGATAACCTCACTATACTAGACAGGATAACCTCACTATACTAGACAAGATAACCTCACTATACTAGACATGATAACCTCACTATACTATTTAAGACAAACTTACCTTACACTCACTCCACCTCCCAGCTGCACCCAGCTTGAAGCTGTCTCTATCACTCACTGGCTTCAGGCTTCACGCACCTAAGCTGCGCTTGTTTCAAACACGCATTAATTTGAACATTTGTTCGAACTGTGAATTAAAAACTGTTTTCTGAAATATAAATTATTATCATATATGATAGTTTTTCGTATAGTTTGGCCGCGATTAGGTTAGGTTAGGTTAGGTTAGGTTTTGTGTGTAATTATTTGTATTTTCAGTATGTGAGTTAAGAATCTATAGAAGTGCGATTCGAACCTAGGAAGAGAACGAAGCAATGTTCGAACGTCATCAGTTGGGAGTCGCTTATAACAGTCCGTCCTCATAGAATCCGTCCTCATACAGCCCATCCTCATCAACAACGGCCCAATCCAGCCAAATACTCCCGTATTTACGAATCAAAACCAACGACTTAGCTGCGAATCTTTAAAACCCGATTCGAACCTGTGTTCGAATCTGTAAACACTGTAAATGCTTCACTCACGTAACTCAGACATCAATAATATAGCAACAGACCCCAAAACACCTGAACTAACCTATCCTACGCCTAACTATGCATTGAATTGTATTGTATAATAATATTACTTTATATATATGAGAACAAACCTATTTTTATTACACACTTCAATGTTGAAATGGATGAATGGGGCTCGGGTCGGGACGGACGCTGCCCTAACGAGCCTGGCCTGAGGACAGGTTGCCTCATTAACATCGGCTAAATGCTTGTTAATGAAGAAGTCATTGTCCTCCGTCACCAATTATTCCTTCAGGTGTACCAATCCGGAGGAATTGTTCACTTACGATGTACGTCGTTCTCGTTAATTAGTTCAGCTTTTTTTAAGGATTGTTATCGTAGCATTGAGAGTCGTTCTGGTGTTGTTGATATACGTGGGTAGACTACGAATCACGAACGTCAACCGCTCGGCCGCGTGGATAAAATCTACACGGTATAAGCAATCAGTAGACGGTAGAAGAACCCTTTTTTCTCCTTCTGCTCCTGCTCCTCTTTTCTCTTTCCTCCTGCTACTTCTTCCTGCTCCTTCCTCCTTCCTCCTCCTCCTCCTGCTCCTCCTTCCTCCCTCCTCCTCCCCCTGCTTCTTCCAGGAATTACCCGCAACATGTGTCAGGTCATTAAGGCTCAGGAAGCCTATATTTGGCTGCAGGTTTCCGTGTCTCAGGCAGCTTAAGCTTCACGCGACACCCACACACCGCGCCAACCTTCACGCCACGCCTCACCCACTAACAAAAATATCTATAAATGTATATATATATATATCTTTAGGGCTCGTAACTCGCGCTCGTGATTCCAGGGGTCGTCCCTGGAAGCTCGCTCGCGCGCGCGTTTATACACTAATGGTGTATTATTGGGGGGAGTTAAGGGGGGGGGGGGGGTAGACTCGGTCCAAACTTAGTGGACAAGGTGTATATTATATTATATATATATTAGGCTTCAACGCGTTGCCTCGCGTTGGTTTCGAGGATTAACGTCCCCGTGGGCCCGGTCTCTGGCCTTATTCTCATTTTTTCTCTAAATTTTCCTCACCTGAACTATCTCTATCCCCCCCCCCAAACCCTAAAACACACACACACACACACACACACACACACACACACACACACACACACACACACACACACACACACACACACACACACACACACACACACACACACACACACACACACACACACACGCACGCAGCGTTTGGGTGTTAAAAACAAAAGAATGCCGTTCCTGTTTTAATTTTCAACACTTCTGTAACGCATTTTATATTTCCGTTGGCTGAGTCTGTTTTTTCTCTCCTGTTGTTGAATTTGCTGCGTTTTTCACGAGGCCCCGTTGGGGGAGTAGCCCCCCTCTGCCATTTACCTGGGCTCTAGGTGGCTCTAGGAGACTCTAGGTGGCTCTAGGAGGATTTAAGAGGCTTTAGGAGACTCTAGAGGGCTCTAGGAGGCTCTAGGAGACTCTAGGTGGCTCTAGGAGGATCTAAGAGTCTTTAGGAGACTCTAGGGGCTCTAGGAGGCTCTAGGAGACTCTAGGTGGCTCTAGGAGGATTTAAGAGGCTTTAGGAGACTCTAGAGGGCTCTAGGAGGCTCTAGGAGACTCTAGGTGGCTCTAGGAGGATCTAAGAGGCTTTAGGAGACTCTAGGGGCTCTAGGAGGCTCTAGGAGACTCTAGGAGGCTCTAGGAGGATCTAAGAGGCCCTAGGAGACTCTAGGGGCTCTAGGAGGCTCTAGGAGACTCTAGGAGGCTCTAGGAGGATCTAAGAGGCTTTAGGAGATTCTAGAGGGCTCTAGGAGGCTCTAGGAGACTCTAGGAGGCTGTAGAAGGATCTAAGAGGCCCTAGGAGACTCTAGAGGGCTCTAGGAGGCTCTAGGAGACTCTAGGAGACTCTAGGAGGCTCTAGGAGAATCTAAGAGGCCCTAGGAGACTCTAGGGGCTCTAGGAGGTTCTAGGAGGCTCTAAGAGACTCTAGGGGGCTCTAGGAGGCTCTAGGTGACACTAAGAGGCTCTAGGAGAGATTACGGCGCTCTAGGGGGACTCTAGGTAACTCTAGGAGGCTCTAGGAGACTCTAGGATGCTCTAGGAAGCTCTAGGTGACTTTAGGAGGCTCTAGGAAGCTCTAGGTGACTTTAGGAAGCTCTAGGAGGCTCTAGGAAGCTCTAGGTGACTCTGGGAGGCTCTAGAAGACTCTGGGAAGCTCTAGGAGACTTTAGGAGGCTCTAGGAGACTCTAGGAGGCTCTAGGAAGCTCTAGGAGGCTCTAGGAGACTCTAGGAGGCTCTAGGAAGCTCTAGGAGACTCTAGGAGGCTCTAGGAGGCTCTAGGAGACTCTAGGAGGCTCTAGAAAGCTCTAAGAGGCTCTAGGAGACTCTAGGAGGCTCTAGGAGACTCTAGGAGGTTCTAGAAAGCTCTAGGAGGCTCTAGGAGACTCTAGGAAGCTCTAGGAGGCTCTAGGAGACTCTAGGAGGCTCTAGAAAGCTCTAGGAGGCTCTAGAAGACTCTAAGAGGCTCTAGGAGGCTCTAGGAGGCTCTAGAAAGCTCTAGAAAGCTCTAGGAGGCTCTAGGAGACTCTAGGAGGCTCTAGGAGGCTCTAGGAGGCTTACGTGGGCTTCTGGTTGTGCTGCTGCATCTAGCCTGCTCTTCTGCTCGATTCCCAAGACACTTATGTTGGTTCTTTGTCCTGTTCTTCAGCGCAGGTGTTGGTTCTTCGTCCTGTTCTTCAGCGAAGGTGTTGGTTCTTTGTCCTGTTCTTCAGTGCAGGTGTTGGTTCTTCGTCCTGTTCTTCAGCGCAGGTGTTGGTTCTTCGTCCTGTTCTTCAGCGCAGGTGTTGGTTCTTCGTCCTGTTCTTCAGCGAAGGTGTTGGTTCTTCGTCCTGTTCTTCAGCGCAGGTGTTGGTTCTTCGTCCTGTTCTTCAGCGCAGGTGTTGGTTCTTCGTCCTGTTCTTCAGCGCAGGTGTTGGTTCTTCGTCCTGTTCTTCAGCGCAGGTGTTGGTTCTTCGTCCTGTTCTTCAGCGCAGGTGTTGGTTCTTTGCTCTGTTCTTTAACACTGATATTGGTTCTTCAGCCTGTTCTTTAACGAGGCGAAGAACCAAAATTAGATTTTTTAACGTATGAATCATTAACATTTAGTTTATGGTAGCCTCTCACACTACCAAATAACTATAATAGGAGAATTACGAAGAAGAGATAAAGAGAGGACTATACGAGTCACTGATAACAATTCCCGTTTTTGAATGAACAAAGTTTTGGGGTCAAAGGGTCCCCGTTAGTAGTAGTAGTAGTAGTAGAAGTAGTTATAGTAGTAGAATCCTATATTAATCTTATTAACATTTTGTTAAATTAAAATGTTGTTTCGCCTAAGTCAATATAAGCCTTTTTATATACCTCTCACTCAAATATTAGCATTAATGCACTCAATATTTTCACTCAAGTTAATGGGGAGGGGGAAGGAGGGGAGAGGGGGGGGGGGAATGAAACACCATTAACGATGCCAACGTCATTTTAATGATGCAAAAATATAGGCGGGAGAGTAAACATGCAAACACCACAGTGTTTAGATGTTTCATCAACTAAACACTATAGTTACGTTATGTATAGTTAATTAACATCGGCGCCACTGGTGGCTGCAATGATTAGCGGGAGTTAACATCTAACAGGCCCTTTGATTTGATCTAGGCTTAGTTGGATGTTGAATATATATATATATATATATATATATATATATATATATATATATATATATATATATATATATGACACACCACGAGTTTTCATTATATATATTTTAAGTATCAAATATTTACCATTCTAACATTTAGGTAATTTCTAAAAACAAACATTTAAGATATTTAAAGGATTGTTTTTTTTTAATTTAATAATTAACACACCATATGGAGCTATGGCCAAATGTTGAATATATTTATCATCTATGTTAATTATATATAACATCTTTGTAATGTCTAGAAATATAACATTTAACATATAATTACTCTTTTGAAAAGATATTAATCATATATTTGAATATATTGAAATATTTGGATCATTTACATTAATTATATAATCAATATAATTTTTTTCTCTTAGGCCTATAGTGTTAATTTAACTATTTTAACACTAAATATGTACGACTAGACATATAATCACAGGATATAAATTTTAGACGAAATATATATATATAAATGGATGAAAATACCCTATTTACACCAAAGGGGGGGATTAAGTGGAATAATTTGCTTTACCAATTACCAATTTAAAATAGGTAATTGTACTTTACACCTGTACAAGGATCAGAGGGAGACACATGTCAAAATAGGATTACAAACCTATACATATGAAAGTCGTGTTCAGGCATCTGTGCTTGAAGAACAGCACCTATGCTTGAAGAACAGAGCTAGAACACCAGTCGCAATGGGATGTGGGGACGGGAAGGTCGGGATCCCCAGTCCCCATTGGGATAGATATATTTCACATCCCAGAAGGAGCGATAGATGAACGTCCCAAGACAAGAAGTAGCAACAGATGACAACAGTCAAATGAGCACCTGTAGCTGTTGAACACCTGTTCTCTTATGTGTAGCCTTGCTTGCATGACATGTTGCTAATTCCTGCACATACACACACACACACACACACACACACACACACACACACACACACACACACACACACACACACACACACACACACACACACACACACACACACACCCTGGTTAAGCAATAATCCCAACACTGTAAACAAAACAGTCTTCCACACACACCTGACAATACCCTTAAACTCCCTTACCTTACCTTACCTTACCCTCGTCTACCTAAAATATATATATAACCTGGCTTGGGTGGATAAGGGGCTAGAAGTAGCCCCTTATGTACAAAATAGACGTCCCTGGCTAGACCCATCCAGGAATAGACACACCGAGAGGTGTACCTAGCTTCTCGCTTGTGTTTAAACTTGAAGGAGTTTACCTTAGAGGGAATTTACCTTAGTCTTGAACTGTAAGGGAGTTTACCTTAGTCTTGATCTTTGCCCAGCGACTATAGTCTACTTTCTGGTTGATCAGGGAACTCAAAGGTAGATAGGGGACAGGAAGATAGGTTGTAGGGAGGGGGTGTGTGGGTTGTAGAGAGGGGGGTTGTGGGTTGTAGAGAGGGGTGTGTGGGTTGTAGAGGTGTTGTGAACTGGATGTTTGAGTACAAGGACTGTAGGGGTTATGATAGCAATATTGGAGATACGTAGTTAAGAAAGGGTTGTTGAAGAGAGAGATGGGGGGGGGGGGAAGGTGGTTGATGAGTTGTGAAAATGCCTTTTGGGGGATTGTGGAATGGGAAATTGGGTAGGGGGTAGGTGGGTGAGGGGGTGGGGGGGTTGTGATTCTGGCGTGGGTGTTGAGTGGTTGCATCAACGGTTGTTGGGTAGTTTGGTGACCCCTTTGTGCGGTTGTAGGGTTGTTGTTGTTGGATTGTTAAGCATACGGGGTAGTTGTGTAGTGTTTGTTGGGTGATAAATGACTGCTTGTGAACGAGAGAGAGAGAGAGAGAGAGAGAGAGAGAGAGAGAGAGAGAGAGAGAGAGAGAGAGAGAGAGAGAGAGAGAGAGAGAGAACAAAGTAAAAAAAATATACATACTAATTTGGATAATAATAATTATATATCCCAAGGCTTAAAGCATTAAGAAGGAATTCTTAATTAAACTTACCACTTTGCGAGAACGGAAAGAGAGATGGGGGGGGGGGTCAAAAACCCCCTCTTACCCCCCCCCCTCCCCCGGAAACAATTACAGCGGCTTGGCCTAACCAAAAGCACCAAAAACTAGCCAAACCACCTAAGCCACCGGGACCGATATTCACCAGTCCTAGAAAGCGTCAGTTTTGCGGTGTTTTTAATTTCCCTAAACCACCGCATATCTTACGATGGTCACGATTGTGTAAAAATATAGGAACTATTTTACAAATGCCTTTTTTGTCGATTGTTATATCATAGCAATTTGGTTATACCAGTGTTATTGTGTTATAGTTGGTTATATTCCACCTTAAAATGACTATAATTAAGCTTAGGTTATACTCATGTTTTTCTGTTAATGTTTCGAGTAATATATATATATATATATAGTGCCTTTATGTAACTAATTCTGGTTATATATCCCAACTTTGGTTGTGATATATTTGATATATATCCTCCGTATTATGGTGTTAGTGGTTATATATATATTGTTTATGGGATGTTGTTCTATAGTACTCACCTGATGGTATAACCTTTGATATAAACGCGAGTCACTGATTCTATATCTCTCCAACAACCAGCCAATCACCTCGTTAACAACCAGCCAATCACCTCGTTAAGAAGCAACCAGCTGCACAATAAACATTCGTTAGGTTTAGAGTAACTAACACGTGAGAATCGTATGAAAAAAGACTGAAAGAGGGATACGAGAACAATGTTAAATGATGATTAATTAAAAATTATTCCCCAAAAGGCACCAAAGGTCGAGAGAGCATAGAAATGAACGCATAATACAGGTCTGGAAGTCAATAGCGATCAATGGAGTTCTCAGCGGGCAGGAATGAAGAGTTTATACACATTACAGAACGCAAATGGTTGATGATTATAAACAAAAGTGTTTATAAACACAGTGGATTGTAAACACAATCAATTGTCATGAACTCAAAGCACCGAGTACACTCAACTGTAAATTCAGTTTCCGTTACACACAATGAAAAAAACATTGTAAATTGTAAACACACCGGCTTGCAAGCAGAGTGGTCTTGAAGCATCATGAACTTTAAACACAGTGGGGTGTAAACATCATGGAGTCGACCCTTGATCTCGTTCCACCTCGAAACTAATTTATCCAATGACCTGACAGGGTTGAATTACGAGCCCGTCTCTCTCTCTCTCTCTCTCACTAACCGAAACACTTTTCAAAGGATAGGAAAAATGTTTGTGTATGTTATTTCATGGACCAGCAACAGCAGAGTGGATCAGGGAACGCATTTTCAAGGGCCGCGGTGCGCTTATGAAAGAAAACATTGCACCTTTGATGTCAGGAATTGGCATGACATGTCTCTATATATATCAGCTGAAGTATTTATTTGCCCTTTACGTGATGTCTTTTGATTTCAAATATTGACACAATTTTCCTAGTAAAGTGACAGTTGCTATAGACTAGAAAATTAGTTATGGATATCCGTTTTTTTTAAATGGAATTGGAGTAGGATACAGACCTATAACAAGAAAAAGTTTTTTCTATCGATTTTGTAATATTCTGAGATACAGGAACACGCTGTCTGGCTTCGTATGCAAGCTTTAATTTACGTAGCATTAAGTTGGCGACTTTGTTTTGATTGAAAGCTGTCGGGAAGACTACTGTGGGGGAGCGTGCTGATTGGCTCTGGTCTGTCATGAACCAATATCGTGATTGGCTCTCGTCTATCATGTAGCAGCCTAATGATTGGCCGTCGCCTAGCATGAAACGCCCTTCAGTGCATCGCGATAATGAGGAAAATATCAATTACGCTTATCTATATCGAATTTGTTTTGTTTAGGATTAAATATTATAATTGTGACCAGATGAATGTAGTGTTGCGATTCCCTGCAATAATCCTCACGTGGATTTGACCAAATTTTTATCTCTTTCAGGCAATCTTCCAAATGGTAAACTCTCACTGGAAATCTTGGAATACCTAAGAGATTTCTGATTCCTTTTACAGCAAAAGATGATCCCATGTATACCCAAATCCCTTCCATAATACCCCTCGTTCCCTAAGCTACCCAGGAAGCAAACTTATGATGCGATAATACGTAATTAACAAGGTCCTTGTTGGAAGAAACTGGACCTAAGTGCTATTTTATGAACCCCCCCCACCCACCCACCCCCACACACCCCACACACACACATACACAACTGCATTTTAGTTTCCATTTCTGAATTTGATCTCTAATTCTGCCTTTCATTCATCCTTTTTTCTTTCTAGTTTGCTTATATATTACTTTTTTTGTGTGTGTTTCTAATATGTTTCAATGTATTTTTTTCACATAATTTTCCTCACCTTAATCCACGTCATTTTTCCTTCTCTGTTTGTTGTGATATTTCACTAAAATCTTCACATTTTCCTCACATGGTTATTTCTTCCATCACTGTTCTCCACAATTCCTCCACTTCCTTCTTTCTTCCCTTCTTCGCCAACTATCATATATATCTCATTTTCCCGTTTTTTATAGTTTTTTTTTTACTTTTCTTAAAGTTTACCCTTCCTCCTCAGTCATACTCGGAGCCTATGGTGATGCTCAGTTCCTGGGAGACTATGAGAGTCTTGTGGTACCAGATGTTTGTGTCCAGGACAACTGTAAATAAAGAGAGAGAGAAAAAAGACTCATTAGTCTCAACAGAAATGTCTTGTCATTTTCAGAAATTTCCAAAAAAATTTGCGGCAATTTTAGAAATCCGCAAAAAGTTGCAACGTAGATAATACACACAAATTAAAAAGTGATAACATAGGATATTAATTAAGAAAATCGTCACTAACATACCTCATCAGTAATATTAGTTATAAGACAAAATTCTATTAGTAATTTTACCGTTATATATATTTTGCCTGTTAACTAAACAACAAATTCTACAACTATTTCACTTCTACAACTATTTCTTCTGCAATAATCACCACCACCATCGTCGTTAATCCTACAATCTATACTAATAAAAATAATAATAACTGAACTTTGATCTAAATATTACGTTATATTTAGAGATGATCCAGCTTTCACAAAGTGATTGTCATCAGCAACACAAACAAAAATCAAAATTCTGAACGCTATATACGAAATTTGAGCGATATGCCGTAGTATTCCCATTTTCCAGTGGCTACATTATTGACATGAGAGGTGGAGGAAGGGAGGGAGGGATGGGGGCTAAGGGGTGAAAGAAATGATTAGGTTTGACATGACCAGCGAGGAGTGAAATGATTTCTGTGAGGTAACGCGGTAACGAAAGGTAGAGGGGCTTGGCTAGGCTAGCAGTTCACCCGCCTGAACGCGCTTGTGGAGAGCGGACGTCAGACTGGAAAGACCTACACTTTCGAACTAAGTAGTTAATTAAGCTTGTGGGCAGTGTCAGTTCTAAGGGGGGGGGGAGGAGGGGAGGGGGGTAGAAATAGCCTAAGCTACTCTAACCCTTTGAGATGTATTTCTTTCTTTGAACGCGCTTGTGGAGAGCGGATGTCAGACTGGAAAAACCTACACTTTAGAACTAAGTAGTTAATTAAGCTCCAACCTCCGGGGTTGGAGGTCCCTGTGCCCTTCTTCACCACCTTCGAGGTCAACCCCGGAACTCACAGTTCCTGCGACGGCGCTGGAACCAATCGTATTGGCGTGTGCCTTTCCATTGGAGACTTTCGGCGCCGTGGAGAGGGGGGACCTGCTGTCTGGGTAACAGCTTCTCCCCCGAATCAACCTACCCTGGCTTTGCGCCCTGGTGAGGCCACTCCAGACCGACAACCAGAGCGCAATTCCATAGTCTCCTGAGACTGATGGATGCCTACTAAGCTTGTGGGCAGTGCCAGATGTGGCAGTGTTAGTTCTAAAGGGGGGGGGGGGGAAGGAGGGTAGAAATAGCCTAAGCTACTCTATCCCTTTGAGATGTATTTCTTTCTTGACTCAATAAACATACTTGTACTTGAAAGAGGGGAAAGCAGAGGATAGGAAAAGAGCCTTCTGCTTTACTATTCTCCTCTCCACAATTTAACAACCACAATCAGATCAAATAAACGTCTGGTAGTCAATGTTTCTTTACCTTATTTTCTAGCAAATAATTAAGCAGTGCCATTTCATTTGATGTCTCATCCTATTTTGATTAGTTTTCATTCAGATATTTTGAACACAAGTATTATTTCATACTATTTTTCCAAATGTCTTACGTATAAAATTCCTTTAAGATTCAATGAAATTACCAGTGAAGGATTATTGGAATTGAGAGCCTATTTACCCGGAAATATAAATCCCATTTTCTGTTTGGGGAAAATGATTCAGAGTTATTTATATTGTCGACTAGAGAAAAATGTAAATATTTTATGTGAGACACTCAAAAAAGATGAGACTCAAATTTTGTATTGTTGTGCACGACAATACACTTGCCTGGAAGTGCATGTCAATACTCGTGAGAACTGTATAAAATCATATACACTCAATATTAACATGTTTGCAAATACGTGACACACACACACACACACACACACACACACACACACACACACACACACACACACACACACACACACACACACACACACACACACACACACACACACACACACGTCCCATAAAGCCTCGCCTCTCCTGAACTCACTGATTTCGCCCGGTTCCACCACCACCTCCATCGGCACACACTCGAAGTAGCATTCCGGAGGCGGCTCCAGCGTCCACAGCTTCCTGCCTCTGATCTGCGCCTGCCAGGATGGGTTCCCTACGTGGTCGATCTGCAGAAGAGGTCAGTGAGTTAGTAAATAATTCTCCGTGGCATTTGATGTCCGTCCTGCTGAAAGGTTGGGAAAGGAGGCCAGTTGTTAGCGATCATTATAGATGATTGTATACATCAACAACGCTAAACAGCATTTCAGTTTGCACAAGACTATCCTTGCCCTGCAGCGTATGACCCTTACTGTGTAAGACAAGCCCGAGACGCTGTATATGAGAAATATATTTACTAGAATGCAACTTGGAAACCATTATTGGTTTCCAGGATTATCATTGTCGATGGCAGGAGGCTTCTTATGGCAATCGAGGTCCCGCTAGGCTAGTTCTTCATGACAATTTTATGTCTCATCGCTCCAACCACGTTCTCACCTGTGGACTCCTACAACCACGTTCTCACCTGTGGACCCCTACAACCACGTTCTCACCTGTGGACCCCTACACCCACGTTCTCACCTGTGGACCCCTACAACCACGTTCTCACCTGTGGACCCCTACACCCACGTTCTCACCTGTGGACCCCTACAACCACGTTCTCACCTGTGGACCCCTACACCCACGTTCTCACCTGTGGACCCCTACAACCACGTTCTCACCTGTGGACCCCTACAACCACGTTCTCACCTGTGGACCCCTACAACCACGTTCTCACCTGTGGACCCCTACACCCACGTTCTCACCTGTTGACCCCTCTACAACATACTAGATCAAACTAGCAACATTGACTGTAGCTGTTTCTGCAAAACATACATACAAACACGTATGACAATTCCTTCAATGTTTTCCTTAGATGAAACAGCATGAATATAAAGAACAAGAGCCAGTTCAACACACTCGTAAGTGGTTCTACAGCCTACTCGCTCAATGAGGAAATGTATATGTTTATCTCTCAGAACGTTTGGTAATATGTTTATTGTTTGTGATGTGTGTCTATGTATGTATTAACACGATGTACTGAACGGGGTGAGAATAGCTTGAGCTACCTCATCCCTTTGTGTGTATTTTACCTCAATAAACTTATTTCAATTTCAATTTACTCGCTCAAAGTAACTTCATTGAATATATGACTTTTCCAAAATTCTGAAATCAGGCTTTTTTTTACACTCTTGCCAATATATTTAATTAATCAACACTGAAGTATTTTACCAAATGGAAGGATTTTATTTTAATTTTAAAGGAGACTTACGTGTCTTTTCTATATTTAACATATACCAGATTTCATCAATTTTTTTACTGGCAGGCAAGTTGTTGTTGTTTAAGATTCGCTACCTGGAACAAAAAGTTCCAGGTAGCACGGGCTATGGTGAGCCCGAATAATGGCAGATTGTTCTTAAACGAATTTCACAGCTGACTACATTGGAAGCAGACTGAAGGTCAACAGGTTACTCGCACCTACGGCTGTATTCTCTCATTTAATTAAGTGCAAGAGTGGACTGAGCACAATCTATTGAGCAATACAGCAGGCTTCATGGAGGTGTCACCTAACCAAACCAACCTAATTGTATAATGTATAGTCGGAAAAATGTATAAATAATTTATAATAATTTATTCACAATACACGATAATTACGAGGAAGTCTATCTGTATTTACATTTGATAACGTGATTCAAATACTTCACAGAAAATGGAGAGTGGGCGAGGATTCAGAGAAGGAAAAACTGAATGGATTCATCTCACAGGAAATGACAGAAAAAAAAATATATGTCGGGGTAACTGCAGCAAATTGAAAAGGCCCACTACATATGACGTTATCAAAACTAGGTGAGAGCACACATACACACACACACATAACACGCTGCTCTAAGTAAGCCTGTTGTTGTTGTTTAAGGCAGCGTCTGGGATACTCTCGGACGCAGGTTCGAATCCTCGTCACGGCCCTTGTGGACTTGTTCACGAGGGTTTAAGGTTTCCATAGGACACAAGGTCTCATCTAGGATCTCAAATGACTCAAAAGGACATTAGGAAAGGAAGACTTACGATTATTTACAAAATCTTAACCTGAGATGGAAGATAATGATAAGCCCCGCCCTAAAAAATTGTTTTTCTTTTTCTAACTTTAAAAAAAGTTGTAACATTAAAAAAAAAAGTTGATACGTATTAAAAAATTAAATATTTTAACTAAAACGGGTACTTGCAAATTATTGATCTAGCTGTTTCTGTAAGGTTGATATTGCATTACTGTTGTATATTGTATTCTTCGGCACCAGGAAGTTTGGCTTCAATATTTTATAACCCCGGAAGGGAACTACCACCTTTCATAATGTTTGTATTCCATTTATTTCACATAAATATCGTCCCGTTATTTCTCGCTGACGAATCACCTTCCCCCTCACATTCCCCACGTGGCTGAGGTCATACAGGTTCTGAAGAACTTATTAAAAGAAGGAAGCAGCAAGCCGGGAAGACTCCTGCTTGATGGAGTTCAGGTTTTTTTATATCTGCTTGATGGGGTTCTGGGAGTTATTCTCCTCCCCAAGCCCGGCCCGAGGCCAGGCTTGACTTGTGAGAGCTTGGTCCACCAGGCTGTTGCTTGGAGCGGCCCGCAGGCCCACACGCTACACCGTATGTCGCTGGATATTCAAGATGGCGTTACGACAACAGGAGAACGTAAGACGACCGATATATGAAGTAATTGAGTTCATTAAAAGATTCGATCGAGGGACAGATCTTAGAGGCTACTCAAACTCGTGCCACCTCTTGGCTGGCTTCAGGTTCATCAGTCACCCGAAGGGACATATGGAAAGCAAAAAAAAAAAGACTTCATTATCTCGGTCGATACAGCTTCGGCCACACACGCCTGGGGCTCGAGGTTCGAGTCTCCCAGGACCCAAGTACGGGAAGCAAGATATGTGGGGGACACCCCACATATCTTGCACTCTGAAGTATCACACTTACACACTTACACTCTGAAGTATCTTGAAGAATATAAATAAGTGTCCTCTTGCACTCTTTGGCGTCTAGAGCTCACGCTGCAGCAGTTCTGGTAGTGAAACTACCACCTCCCCCTCGTCCTGTCAACCACTAGGTCGTTATGGCGTCATTACGGTAACCAACGTACCAAATGCAGCGTTCTGCGTTTCTGGTTAGGACGTCGGTTTCTGTACGATGGGACAATTCGAGAGAACGGGCTGTTTTAACGCAGGTAATAGTTAAGGCGATGTTCTCCACTATAACTCTCCAATGTTCTCCACTATAACTCTCCAATGTTCTCCACTATAACTCTCCAATGTTCTCCACTATAACTCTCCAATGTTCTCCACTATAACTCTCCAATGTTCTCCACAATAACTCTCCAATGTTCTCTACAATAACTCTCCAATGTTCTCCACAATAACTCTCCAATGTTCTCTACAATAACTCTCCAATGTTCTCCACTATAACTCTCCAATGTTCTCTACAATAACTCTCCAATGTTCTCTACAATAACTCTCCAATGTTCTCCACTATAACTCTCCAATGTTCTCCACTATAACTCTCCAATGTTCTCCACTATAACTCTCCAATGTTCTCCACTATAACTCTCCAATGTTCTCCACAATAACTCTCCAATGTTCTCCACAATAACTCTCCAATGTTCTCTACAATAACTCTCCAATGTTCTCTACAATAACTCTCCAATGTTCTCCACTATAACTCTCCAATGTTCTCCACTATAACTCTCCAATGTTCTCCACTATAACTCTCCAATGTTCTCCACTATAACTCTCCAATGTTCTCCACTATAACTCTCCAATGTTCTCCACTATAACTCTCCAATGTTCTCCACAATAACTCTCCAATGTTCTCTACAATAACTCTCCAATGTTCTCCACAATAACTCCCCAATGTTCTCTACAATAACTCCCCAATGTTCTCCACTATAACTCTCCAATGTTCTCCACAATAACTCTCCAATGTTCTCTACAATAACTCTCCAATGTTCTCTACACATGACTTCTCCAATTCCTCTTCGTCCAATAGGGCTTTCCTTTGTGGCCCTCTGCTCTCACCTCTCACCCTCTGTTTCCTTCCAGAGAGGTACTCCCTCGTCCACTCTAGTACTAGTCTTAAGACACACCAACCTACGTCTCTAGCATGATAAATTGTCACTTACGTGCGACAGTATCGAAGGCTTCCTGCCAGTCAAAGAATAAACTGCCTGTCTATTCATCTCGTCTGCTTCAGTTCTGTCAACTTGTTATCAACTTTCCTTAGTGATGTGTTGCTTCAGAGATCAAATTTGTTGTTCTAGATTGCTTAACTTATTAGCTTGTAGCCAGCGAGGCTCATTAGCCCGTGACATTCATGTCTCGTGGACTTTCTCTTCCACCTCCTTCAACCTGTGACCTTAATGACCTCTCCCCTGACCTTCAGGTAACTTTCCCTCTCAGTTTCCTAAGATGCGGGACAGTCTAATCCTAATTTAGCGGGTCAAAGGGAGTGTGGGACGAATTATTCCTTCTGTCCTGCTTCAGGAATTCCAATCTGCTTTGAGAATTATGTATTAGAGGAGTGTGTGTGTGTGTTAAGAACACCAGGGAGGCAATTGTGCTTGTTCTTCACGGCCCTTGTGTTCTTTACGAGCCTTGTGTTCTTCACGGCCCTTGTGTTCTTTACGAGCCTTGTGTTCTTCACGGCCCTTGTGTTCTTTACGAGCCTTGTGTTCTTCACGGCCCTTGTGTTCTTTACGAGCCTTGTGTTCTTCACGGCCCTTGTGTTCTTTACGAGCCTTGTGTTCTTCACGGCCCTTGTGTTCTTTACGAGCCTTGTGTTCTTCACGGCCCTTGTGTTCTTTACGAGCCTTGTGTTCTTCACGGCCCTTGTGTTCTTTACGAGCCTTGTGTTCTTCACGGCCCTTGTGTTCTTTACGAGCCTTGTGTTCTTCACGGCCCTTGTGTTCTTTACGAGCCTTGTGTTCTTCACGGCCCTTGTGTTCTTTACGAGCCTTGTGTTCTTCACGGCCCTTGTGTTCTTCAAAACCCTCGTGTTCTTCACGGTCTACTTTAATATCGTTTTTAACGTGCTTGTTTTAACTCCTGTTCTTCTTCTCTGGTCATTTATCTCTTCTCTTGTTCTAGTTCTTCCTCATTTTTATCCTGTTTCCTGTTTTTTTCATTTTCATCTGTATTTGTTCCCATTTATTTCCATCTCCTCCTCTCTACCTCTCTTTCTTTCCTCTCTCTCTCCTGTTCCATCTTTCCTACTCTCTTCCCTTCTCTCTCTCTCTCTCTCTCTCTCTCTCTCTCTCTCTCTCTCTCTCTCTCTCTCTCTCTCTCTCTCTCTCTCTCTCTCTCTCTCTCTCTCTCTCTCTCCCTCGTTCCTTCTCCCTCTCTCCCTTTCCAACGCTTCTTCTATTTCCTTATTGTTACGTCCATTCTTAAACCCTCATTATCACCATCTTGTTAATTCCTTCCGGATTGATTACACTGTCTCTTGTTTCATCGTTAACTGAGAGAGTATATTCTGAGCTCCGGGACAGGAAGCCCCCAGTGACACCCAAAGCACCCAGTGACACCCAAAGCACCCAGTGACACCCAAAGCACCCAGTGACACCCAAAGCACCCAGTGACACCCAAAGGACCCAAAGACACCCAAAGGACCCAAAGACACCCAAAGACACCCAAAGGACCCAAAGACACCCAAAGGACCCAAAGACACCCAAAGGACCCAAAGACACCCCAAAGACACCCCAAAGACACCCAAAGACACCCAAAGGACCCAAAGACACCCAAAGACACCCAAAGGACCCAAAGACACCCAAAGGACCCAAAGACACCCAAAGGACCCAAAGACACCCCAAAGACACCCCAAAGACACCCAAAGACACCCCAAAGACACCCAAAGACACCCAAAGACACCCCAAAGACACCCAAAGACACCCAAAGACACCCCAAAGACACCCAAAGACACCCAAAGACACCCAAAGACACCCCAAAGACACCCCAAAGACACCCAAAGACACCCAAAGACACCCAAAGACACGCAGAAACACTTGAAGATGTTACACGACCCAAGAGCACATTCACTCAAAACATATTTACCACCACCTGGGGGCTACTCATGCCTGTGCATGAGTGCGTGAATCATCAATTAATCAAAAAACAATTAATGAATCATTAATTAATCAACAAAAACGTAAATTGAGTTTCTTTCACCCTGGTGTCTCTGTTCACCTTGCAGTAAATTGGTACTTGGGAGTTAGACAGCTGCTACTGGCTGCTTCCTGGGGATGTGTGTGTGTGTTAGAGAGAAATATAATAGAGGAAAAATTGATTGGTTAGAATGGCGGGGTCCAAGAGCTAATAACTCGATTCTGCAGACACAAATAGTCTATACACACACACACATACACACACACACACACACACACACACACACACACACACACACACACACACACACACACACAGAAATCCCAGAGATAAGAGAGGGAATAGCTAACCAGGAACCACTGGAAGAGTTTGAGATTACCAGCGGGGAAGTAAGGAAGTGTTTACTAGAATTGGATGTGACAAAGGCTATAGGTCCAGATGGAATCTCCCCTTGGATACTAAAGGAAGGAGCAGAAGAACTGTGCCTCAGCTCTCCATGGTGTATAACAAATCACTGGCAACAGGGGAACTGCCAGAAATTTGGAAAGCAGCTAACGTAGTCCCGATATACAAGAAAGGGGATAGACAGGAGGCACTGAATTACAGACCAGTGTCCCTAACCTGCATACCATGCAAGTTGATGGAGAAGATTGTGCGAAGAAAGCTAGTGGAACATCTGGAGCGAAAGAACTTTGTAACACAGCATCAACATGGATTCAGGGATGGCAGGTCCTGCCTCACAGGGTTACTTGAATTCTACGACCAGGCAACAAAAATAAGGCAAGAAAGAGAAGGGTGGGCAGACTGCATATTTTTGGATTGTCAGAAAGCCTTTGACACAGTGCCACACAAGAGGCTAGTGAAAAAACTGGAGATGCAGGCTGGAGTGAAAGGGAAGGTACTCCGTTGGATACAGGAGTACCTAAGTAACAGGAGACAACGAGTCAGTGTGAGGGGTGAGGTCTCAGATTGGCGAGACGTTACGAGTGGAGTACCGCATGGGTCAGTCCTTGGACCTATACTGTTTCTGATATATGTAAATGATCTTCCAGAGGGTATAGAATCGTTTCTCTCAATGTTTGCCGATGATGCAAAAATTATGAGGAGGATTGAAACTGAGGACGATAGTAGGAGGCTACAAGATGACCTAGACAGACTGAGTGAATGGTCCAACAAATGGCTGTTGAAGTTCAACCCGAGTAAATGCAAAGTAATGAAACTAGGTAGTGGAAATAGGAGGCCAAACACAGGATACAGAATAGGAGATGAAGTACTTAATGAAACGAACAGAGAGAAAGATCTAGGAGTTGATATCACACCAAACCTGTCTCCTGAAGCCCACATAAAAAGAATAACGTCTGCGGCATATGCGAGGCTGGCTAACATCAGAACAGCGTTCAGGAACCTGTGTAAGGAATCATTCAGAATCTTGTACACCACATATGTAAGACCAATCCTGGAGTATGCGGCCCCAGCATGGAGCCCGTACCTTGTCAAGCACAAGACGAAGCTGGAAAAAGTCCAAAGGTATGCCACTAGACTAGTCCCAGAATTAAGAGGCATGAGTTACGAGGAAAGGCTGCGGGAAATGCACCTTACGACACTGGAAGACAGAAGAGTAAGGGGAGACATGATCACAACCTACAAAATCCTCAGAGGAATCGACCGGGTAAACAAGGATAAACTTTTCAACACTGGTGGGACGCGAACAAGGGGACACAGGTGGAAACTGAGTACTCACATGAGCCACAGAGACATTAGAAGGAACTTTTTTAGTGTCAGAGTAGTTAACGGATGGAATGCATTAGGCAGTGATGTGGTGGAGGCTGACTCCATACACAGTTTTAAATGTAGATATGATAGAGCCCAGTAGGCTCAGGAATCTGTACACCAGTTGATTGACAGTTGAGAGGCGGGACCAAAGAGCCAAAACTCAACCCCCGCAAGCACAAATAGGTGAGTACAAATAGGTGAGTACACACACACACACACGTAATTCCGTGGCGCGGGTTCGATTCCCACACCAGGCAGAAACAAATGGGCAAAGTTTCTTTCACCCTGAATGCACCTGTTACCTAGCAGTAAATAAGTACCTGGGAGTTAGTCAGCTGTCACGGGCTGCTTCCTGGGTGTGTGAGTGTGTGTGTGGTCTGGATAAAAATAAATAGTAGTAGGTAAACAGTTGAGAGGCAGTTGAGAGGCGGGCCGAAAGAGCAAAGCTCAACCCCCTCAAACACAACTAGGTGAACACATACACACACACACACACACACACACACACACACACACACACACACACACACACACACACTCACACTCACACACACACACGCGAACTTTCACAACCAGCTCCCGGGTCACGGGGCAATAAGCAATATTCATTTGTTTCCTGGCCAGAACTGAAGAAAGAAAAAAACCGTTCTCTTATTGCCTGGGGCTCTTCTTACACACGATAACCCTTCTCCTCTTTCTGTAAACAAAGAATGAAGCTTTGTTCTTTTGTTCAACAGCTAACAAACGCACCGCGCAAACAAAAAAACTAAGAATTATTTAAGAATTAGTTTCGCAGCAAAACATACCGTACGAACTGACCAAATTGCACGTTGTTTTATTCGTTCATTTAGCAAAATACGTACACTAAATTAATTGGGAGGATTGTAAGATCACCAGTTGTAAGAACATTTGAAATAAAAAATGTTCTATTGAACATTAACCTCATTCAAGATAATCTCCAAGAAGTCACTGTTTCGTTCCTCTGTAAATATGTATCACCACTGTATCTATCTCTCAGTTCATATTCGCAAACTGTATCTATGGTCCTAAACTACTTTCAGGCTTAAAGGTGATTGGCAAGTAGGCCAGAAAGCTGTTGTTGTGGGCCGCAGTGACCCTCCAGTGGTTAATGTACCATAAGCCCGACACTGAACCAAATCCCCCGTTGAACAAATCCACAAGGGCCGTGACGAGGATTCGAACCTGCGTCCGAGAGCATCCCAGACGCTGCCTTAATCTGCTCCCGTTGAAGTTCATAGCAATTTTCATCGAAGTCCTCCTTGAGAAAGCATACAAGTTAATCACAGATATATGCTTTTCCACGTTAATTTTGCTACGGAATCCTGTCAGTTTCTTGCAAACTGAACACCTAACAGTTTCGTATTACAATAGGGACAGGAAGCCGGCGGCGGGAGGACTCACATGAGCCCCCTGGCGGCGGGAGGAGGACTCAGTGAGCCCCCTGGCGGCGGGAGGAGGACTCAGTGAGCCCCCTGGCGGCGGGAGGAGGACTCAATGAGCCCCCTGGCGGCGGGAGGAGGACTCATTGAGCCTCCTGGCGGCGGGAGGACTCAGTGAGCCCCCTGGCGGCGGGAGGAGGACTCACATGAGCCCCCTGGCGGCGGGAGGAGGACTCAGTGAGCCCCCTGGCGGCGGGAGGAGGACTCACATGAGCCCCCTGGCGGCGGGAGGAGGACTCAGTGAGCCCCCTGGCGGCGGGAGGAGGACTCACATGAGCCCCCTGGCGGCGGGAGGAGGACTCACATGAGCCCCTGGCGGCGGGAGGAGGACTCACATGAGCCCCCTGGCGGCGGGAGGAGGACTCAGTGAGCCCCCTGGCGGCGGGAGGAGGACTCAGTGAGCCCCCTGGCGGCGGGAGGAGGACTCAGTGAGCCCCCTGGCGGCGGGAGGAGGACTTACATGCATATGGGCGCCGTAACCAGGGGTCCCCATGAAGATCCAGTCAGTCTTCGAGGACTCGG